AAGTAGGGGGGGGGGGGGGGGGGGAAGAAAGAGTCAATGTGAATGATGGCCGGTCAGTTCTATAAACCACGAGCCGCCACTGCTCCCATCCATTATTTTCCCATAAAAATAATTAGGATTGATAATGCTGTTTTATCACTATGTTATATATATATATGAAATAATATATATATATATATATATATATATATATAATATAATATATATATAATATAATATATATATTATATATATATATATATATATAATGTATAGATCTATAATAATATATCTTAAGTCAGTGAGTTAAGTTAGTGAAACTGGTTCCTCAGATTAGTAGATCTAGCTTGGATTTTGTGATGTTTAAGTAAGTAATTAAACACAAAGACGAGGCAAAATTGCAGTGGTTACATCTGATATCAATTAACTGAAAGGTAGGCATTGATCAGACCAGGCTCTTAATCTCTTCGAATATTTTCTTCAAAACATAGATCTGGGTCTAGATCTAGATCTAATCTGTCTAAATTCTTATCAATCTTATTCTTACTCTTACCAATGAAATGAAAGAGGGGTTCCTTTGGAGGCTCTGTTAGTACACTAATAAATGCAGCAGTGTTGCACCATCCTTTCTGGTCTCGTTTTATTGTAAAGAAAGTCTCAAAGGCTGCAATAATAATAATAATAATAATAATAATAATAATAATAATAATAATAATAATAATGATAATAATAATAATACATTTAATAATAATTATAACAATAATGTACAACAATAATAATAATAACAACAATAACAATAATAATAATAATAATAATAATAATAATAATAATAATACTAACAATAATAATAATAACAATAACAATAACAACAACAACAATAATAATAATAATAATAATAATAATAATAATAATAATAATAATAATAATAACAATAATAATAATAATAATAATAATAATAATAATAATAATAATAATAATGCAGATCATTTCTATAGCGCCCACGAACTCAGCTCTAGGTGCTTTACATAAATGCATATATGAACAATATTCACACACACACACACATACGCGCGCGTGCACACACACAAATACACACTCACACACAAACACTCACATGCACACATCACACGCATACACTTACACATCGTAGAAACATGATCTAGATCTAGAGATCTAGATATCTACATCTAGATCTCGACGTCTATAGGGATATGGCTTTTCTTTGGGTTACATAAACGAGTTTCAGTATTATTTTCATTAAGCTGGAGCTTAGTATCAATCATCCAGTTCTTGACATCATCAATGCACCTACCCATGGTGGCAGGCAAGGTTTTAACATCTAGATCTAGTGGTGGAACAGATTTATACAACTGTTTATCATCTGCGTACATGTGACAATTCATATATTCAACTGTGCTTTCTAGTTGCAGCTCCAAGCGGCTGTGTATATAACTTATACTCGATTGGACCCAATAAGACGTTAATCCAGAAAGGGACTAGATCTAGATCTAGAGGTTTCACATGCTTGCACTTTTAAGAGAATCGCTTTGGATTAAAACATAACGTTAGAATCAAATAAAACACATAAGAGCAGAGACACGCCCACTCACATGTAAGAGAAGAGACACGCCCACTCACATGTAAGAGCAGAGACACGCCCACTCACATGTAAGAGCAGAGACACGCCCACTCACATGTAAGAGCAGAGACACGCCCACTCACATGTAAACAAAAGTTTTCGCCAACTGAAAAATCGCCGCCTACAAACTCAAATGTTTCCGTGTCACGTGACCTCGTACGGACTCTAGCAGAGACCCTAAAATATATAATTAAATATTCTCGGAGATAACTCTATGGTCTAACCTGAGAATCACAAAAGAGTTCCCATACCGGGTCTTTATACTTTGTGACTTTCTTCCCGGTTACCGGGTCTGTATACTTTTTTGTTTTGTTTTGTTTTGTAAAGTGTTTTACGGCGCTCGCAACTGCATAGGTCATATGAGCGCTCGGGACACTCCTAATATTTTCAGTTGGTAGGAAATTTTGAATTTTGCCCGGGTGGCGGCCGAAGCCTACTCTTATCGATTTTAGACCACCAAGGGATCTTTAACGTGCGCAACTTGCACACGGGCCCTCCGAGATTTTTCGCCCTTGTCCGAGAAGGCTAGGTGTAGATCTTTCCTACCAGAAGATCAGGGGTGTGGCAGAAAGACAGCAGTAAGGAGGAGCCAAGGAGTAGCAGTAGAAAAGCTGCAGAAAGAGTTAGGAGCCCAGAGGAGGGGGCAAATGAGGTGAAGGGGAGGGGGCAGAAAGTGGAAATGAAAGCAGACAACAGAACATTGCTAGAGAGCAGGAAAGGAGGTGAAAGGAGACAATTTTAGAGAAGAAAATTTTTTGGTCGCTACCCGGAATCGAACCCGGGACCTTTGAATGAGAGGCCAACACCTTAACCTCTAGGCCACGAGAGCCCCCGTCTGTATACACTCCCTTATACAAATGCTTATATGTCAAAGTGCTGGGCATGAACAAGCTCTAGAAATATTACATGTAATCCATTATATTGATCTTTTCGACCGTGACAATATTTCGGGACTCTTCGGGAGAAGCGGTCCCGGCCTAACTCCATAGACATTTATACAGTATGTACACAATCGGAAACAAAACCGAAGTTTCATTTAAAAAAGGAGGGGTGCAGGGGGTACTCCCCCTACCTAAAAAAAGGGGTGGGGTCTCCCCCTGCTAAATCACAAAATAGTGGTTTGTGGCAGTTTTTAAAGCTAAAATTGTTCTCAGTATGCAAAAAAACAACAACAAACAAAACCCAACAACATTAGATTGTAGTTCGGCGTTCCAGTCTGAGTGGACTCATTAAATTTTACTTGTTTTCGCCTCATTTTGACATCACCTTAAATTTGGTTTGCCATTAATTTATACTCAGTCTCATTGAAAAAAATGTGGCGCTCTTTGGAAATTGCATTCCCGTTTCGCCATGTAAACTTGAAGATTGAGTGTATTTTTTTTATATTTTTTTTTGCCAGGTAAGCCCA